GCCAAACACTGTTGGGAAGTGTTTTCAGACACTCTCAGAAAGAAAAGCTTTCACATATATCACAACACACTTAAACAAAATTGTAAAAAAAAAAAAATTTAAAACTTATATCCTCTTGGTATCCTACTTGATAAAAAAGCAACAATATTTTAGTATAAACCTATGGCTAGACTCTGATCTCAAACATACTACCACAAAAAAAAAAAAAGGAGAAGATGAAAAATTTAATGAATATTCTATCTGGGTTTCAGCTCCATATCCTGTTTTCACACAGTTTACTATGCCTATTATGTTGAAGGTATGAAACAAGTGCATAAGACAAAAAGTCTATTAACCAATTCCATGTACAAGGAGCATCAAAATACAGTGATAATTTTTCACAAAATAAGCAAAGGTTCAACAGCAACAAAGGTCACACATATTTTGCCCATTAAAAAGTGAGCAAGGGAAGTTGTGAAGGTACAGAAATTATTTATGGCCCTGATGATCCTGCTTTCAGCACTGCTGCCCAGTTCTAGCACAGATGTGACTACATTTAGGCAGAGGCTGGCTATTTCACATCCCTTCTCCCTGCACTGCCTTCCCCCTGAACACAGGAGGATGCATTACACATGTCCAGCATGACAGGAGCTTGTAAATGTGACAACACCAGGGAGACTTCCAAGCCCCCCATGAGCACATCTGGGGGACAATGCCTGCAGCTCAGCCACACTTCAGCAAACCCCGAGTGTGTGATTAACAACATGCTCAAGTCTCACCGACATCAACGGGACTCCAGCATGTGCTTACATCCTTGTGTGGATGAGAGCCTCTGCAGGTAACTGGCTCCTGGCTCCCTGGGGAAGCACCAGAAGGTGACAGGGCATAGGAAGGGGTAGGGCAATACCAACTGATGCTGAGACAGAGAGAAAAACTCATCCCTGCTGGCACAGGAAGCCAAATGCCACGATTTTGCAATGTAACTACCAGCCCTATCCTGCCTCCTGGCTTTGGCAAAACAAAACATTCAGCCACCCAGACAGACTCTGCATCCCACCAGGGGCTCTCAGTATTTACCCAACGGGCTCGGAGTCCCACTCACCTGGCACTGCCAGAGAAATCAGCAGCATTTCCAAACAGAGGGAAGTACATTACCAAAAGATACAACCTGCCAGGTCATTTGGCAACAAGAACATGCAATTGTAATAGAGTTCAGCAAAGACATTTTGCCATGAGGCACAATGCTTGTGCCTTGCAAATTGTACATACCTTACAATATCAAAAAATCAAGTATCTTTCTTAATCAGGGCTTTAACCTGACCAGCAGAGTGAAACAACCTTAAAAGGAGTGGGAGAAAGGAATAAACAGGATCAAGGAACAGGTCTTCCTCCCAGCTTTGAAGGCAAGATCAACAGATACACATGGGGAAGTGACAGGAAAGGCTCGTACTAGCAGTGACACCACAATAAGTAGTGTCTATATAATCTATCCTTTAAGCTCACAGAAATGAAAGGGTGCTGATTGCTACGTGCTCAGACACAGGAGGATTAAAAGTCAGACAAGTTAACCAAAGGAAAAAAAATAGCCAACACACACAAGGAGGCAGGCAGAACCATTCACAGGGAAAGACTTTAAGACAGCTGCAAGGGGGGAAGGATATCCACAGGGAAGCATCACTGTATGCTTGCTTCTTGCTAGTCAGTCAGGTAGGGTGTCAAGCAAAGCAATTTTTTTGCCTGACCTCATATAATTATTCTTAGGAATCTCAGATGTACAAAAGAAAAGTAGAAAAGTCACTAAATGATGGTGGCAGCTGGAAACAGCAGGTTCAAAAGGGTGGCTATGAGACAAAATGATAGAGAGCCTTCTTTGAAAGCAAAGACACTAAACTGTGTGTAAGGGATGTCACAAACATTATTTTACCTCCTAGTAAAAGCTTAGAGCAAACCATGGCTTGAACTGGATAGATTGACATCATTCAACACAGGGCAGGTAGCCCTGGAATGCAGATCTAAGAGATAGCTCTTGCCCTTAAAGCAGCAGGTTTTACTCCTTTCTAAAGGCTTACCTTGAGCTCTACACACTGGTGACTAGATTCAGCCTGACTTCTGCTGGCATAACATAAGCTCTGTGTGCTGGTGGGTTCCTTGAAAGACATCTGTGATGCATCAAGACCTTTATAGTGAGTCTCAAGAAAGACAAGTTTTTATACTTCCACCCAGTTTGCTTTAGGGAAGAAGCCATATTCACATGCACAAAGCCAGCAAGGTGTAGCACACAGAAAGCTGTTCACCTCTAGCAATGTCTTCCTTAATGCTACCAAGGGCTAAACTTCAAAGAAATGGGTCAGGCAGTCCCAGGAATATGCATGGCAATTGCTTCCTGATTTCAGTGTGAGGGGATATGCTGACATTCAG